ATCAACTGTCAGAAATCATCAGGTTGTCAAGGCGTTAGAAACAGCAATCAAACGGAATGGAGGAGGAGGGCAATTAGCTGTTAGTGGAGTTGGGAGGCTGGCTGGCTAGTAGCCCTTGTTGGATCAGGTGCCCCGCCGGGCGGGCCTCAATTTTGGCGGTGAGGAGGAGGAGGAGTCGCAGCAGCATTGTCGGGAGGGACTGCTTTGTCATCAGAAACACAGATGGAGAGGAGGGGAGATAGATCCACCGTAGGGCGATCGGTGTACCAGACTTTGGTCGCCGTGAGGACGGGTGGGAACGCAACGAAGACGTGTCTGCGGAGGTGGGGGTCGTTAACAGCAATTAGTGTGGCGCCTTCTCACCCGGTAGAGGGTTTCAGGAACTCTTCTGAGCTACTGGATTCCCAAACTCATTTATCAAACAAAGCAAGCGCCGAGTGAACAGACGACGGCTAGTGCAAAAGTAACGCGAAGTCTGGAGGACCATTCCCTACATAAAAAGGGGTCTCCTAGACAGTCTCATGACTGTTACAACCTGCTGGCGTAGACGTAGTCCGTCGACCTCAAGCGACAATACGCCGCTGGGTAATGCAACCTAAAGACAGACTGCCTCCTACAGAAACCTCTCCAGTCGTCTACAAGACACTTTGCAACGATGGAGACTGCAATTACATTGGAGAAACAGGCCGCAAATTGCAGACCCGTCCACAGGAGCACAAACTAGCAGAGACCGGCCATGACTTCGACCTTCAAGTAGCGACCATCGTAGGCCGAGGAACCTCAAAAGCCAAAAGCCCAAAGAACCTGCTAACTCTGTTAACAGGCATATAGACCTTCCTGCGGCCTACAAGGTCCTGCGCCATTATGTGGGAAAGAAACAGAGCGAAGCTAAACCAAACGTAAGAATGGCACGCGAACAGGACCCCACAACGAACCGGCCGGAGGAGGAGACAGGATTACCAGGACCCTCTACCGGGTGACGGTGCACACTAATTGCTGTTCATGACCCCCAGCCCCACTGACATTTAATTAGCGCACACTATAATTGCCCCCCGACTCAACTGACAGCTAATTCCCCTCCTCGCCCATCCTGCTTGATTGCTGTTTCTAATCCCTTGACAACAGTTCTGACAGTTAATTGGTCTATGGCCACTATAATAACCTTCTTTGTTGGTTGCTTTCTCAGCTCTGGAGATGGACTCCTGTAAGAGTTCGAAAGCTCAGAACAATAAATCAACTGATCTGGTGCTCGATACATCTGCTTCCTTGTCCATGCAAATACCTGGATCACAAATCTTCTCATTCTCTTGTCGTATTCTTCCCTCCCCCGCCAAATACGTTTTTATTTCGTGCCTTTATCTACAATTTGCCAATTCGGCTTCCCCTTTTCTCATCCACTTTAAGATGTCTCGTCGGCGACCCCCACTTCAGCGCCCGCAAGCATGTTTGGAGGAACACTTTTCGGTCAGCAGTCAGCCCCCAGTGAGTAGCGAAGTCTCTTCTCCTGACTTTCCATTTAAAAAAACGGTGTTGTTTATTGTGCAGCCTGGTAAATGACTTTCGTCTTCTGCCTCTCATTACCTAAAGATGTCTCCGCGACAACAACCACCGCCGCTGCCGCCTCTGGTCTCTTTGGCAGCACCGTCTTCGGTCGTCAATCTGCCCAGGGTGAGTACTAACCACTCTGCCAAAGCATTTTGGGTAACAGCTTAGCTGCGCGGTATCTTTAGGCAACTATCATAAAGTAGCTACTTCGTGCATTTTAGTAAGCGTAATT